TCAAGTTTTGAGCTGTGGTACATCAGTCATCCATCAGAGGTGCCTGAATTAGTTGTCTAGCTTTGGATTGCAGAGATTGATATGGAGGTGGTGCTGCAGGCAGAACTGGGTATAGAGAGGTTGATGCCACTGGGGGCGCAGTAGGGATGGCCATATCTTTTTTCTTCTCTTGTCCAGTCTGTTCCTTCCCTGCTGCTGCCATGATTTTACACATTTCAGTAGTCGTGTCTCTGTCTCTGAATTTCCTCATCCTGTTATGGATAGGTCCCCATGTAGATTTTCCTTTCTTCTCCCAGTCTTCCACAGCTTTATTGTAGGCACCTGTCGCTTGGGTGTCGATGCACATAATTACTCTGGGAGGGGGGAGCACTCCACTAGGTGTGCTGGGAATGAGGCCTTGCTCTTCCCAGTTGTCCCACAGTGTTTCTGCTTTTCTTCTTGCCTGTTTTCCTTGTCTTTCTGATGCTTTTCTAGCCATTTCTCCTAAAACCCATTCTTTAAGCTGTCCCAGACTTTTAACTTCCTCCATTCCTTCAATTACTTTTCTTCATGTTCACAGAAAATAGTCCTCTTCACCGTGTTCAGGTTGTATGAGGTTTATCTGATTAAAATTGTACTTATTTGCGTGATTCTTATTATTGTTACTGTAATTAAATTGTTGTTTTTTTAAGTGGTATTAATACAAATGTAACAGCAGTAGTCAACAGCTACTGTTGTGAACTATTTGAATATAAGTTTGGACATATAAGTACAGCCCTATTAATGTGAATATACCAGTGTGAAAAGGCCAACTCAGCAATAGTAATGAAAATCTTTTTATTTGCAACTCCTTTGAAGAACTACTGTCTCTGGGTATATATGTATGAGTGTGTGTATGTGTGTCTCAAGAAATTCCTCGCACTCAGCAAAAACAAGAAAAGGGGAGTAAAAATAACGTTGCCAAAGGGGAAACCGTAGTTAAAAATCAGCCAGTATTATACAAATTTCCTTTAATTCAAATATATTATTGCTATAACTTCACCAATCAACCTAAGACTGTGGGATGAAGCCAGAGTGCCCGGAGTGAACCCACGCGAGCACGGGGAGAGAGAGCATGCAAACTCCACACAAAATATGAGGCAACAGCACACTGCACCACCGTGCTGCCCTATCTTTCCTTTTATTTTTATTTTTAAGTAAAAATGCTGGTGACTCAGCCATATCCTAATATCATTTGTGTGTTGCTATGGAAAAAAGCACAGTGTGTGTCCGTATATATATTTTCTGTGTATTATTCCCTGCTTACTGCTCATGACCATGTCAACCCACTTAACCCTTAGATGCACACATCAAAAATGACCCCACGGGTTGTTATTCTTCAAAATCTTTAAAACGAAAAGTTGTAATATATTTATATTCCAGGTATTCCTCATAAAACATGTTTGTGACATGAGGCCATTTGCATTTTTATTTATTTTTTCATTAATTTTAAGAAATTGCAGTTTTTGTATCACTACCCCACTCTTCCACAAGTGGGGTCAAAAATGACCCCAAGCAGTTCCTATGGAATCTTCTATGAACCTTTAATTCTTAGCAACTCTGACTGTCCCACTTACACATCTGATGTCATCTCTCACATCTGATGCAACTTTGACTGTCAATACTGTCCCACTTACACATCTGATGTGAGCAGTCTCACCACCCAGGAGGTCATTTTTACACAGCAACATAAATGTAAGTATTACTTATTTTTCTTTGACAGATTATAATGTGTGAAATGTGTGATCAGATTAGCCTACTTTGTTGTTAGCTAACAGTATTGTATTCAGGTAGGTAACACAGTATTGTGCTAGCCAACAGTATTGTTGACTAACACGCACACACACGCACACACACACACACAGGGACATGCCACAGATGGACTAAAAGTGGAAAGGATTGTAATCACTGTTTAATAGAAGTCGTCTGTAATAGTTGTTACAAGAAATAAAAGTTTTTCAACATTTCTTTTTGTATTGTTTACTAACCCAAGTTGCTCATGATGGCGGTGCGTATGCACACAGCGGCCCGGGGCCCCTCGGCTTCAAACAAAATTTTGATGAACGTGTCACAATGTTACAATGACAATAAAATAAAGCTTATTCTTTTTCTTCTTCTAAAATAGTTTTCAACTTGTGCATCTGATTTGCATAGTGTTGATGTGTTGATTTCACATACTGTATTTCAAATTGTTTATCCTTTTCACATCAATAATTCTCTTCAACCATCGTTTCTGAACTTAGATAGTAGATTTGGGTCTAAAATATAAGATTAGCTAGTAAGATACATTTCATGTATAATGCCAGTTTTTTGACCTGCTAATCTGACATTTCAACACAAGGGAGCAGTGATGCCTCAGCTACTAAGAAGGAGGTGTGACAGAGTTAATAAATGAGAAATTTCTTGCACACATGTAAACATGTTTATTTTAGTTCATCTTTCATCACTATTCCTGTTCATTCAGATATATTAGCATTTTTTTCTTCTCCAGCAGTAACATAAGCACTGTATTTCATAATGGTACTGCAAAGTACGTTTTAACAAAACATTACAAAGACTACACCAGCATAGTCAATGCAAAATAACACATTCATATGAAAAAAGAGTCATCAAGAGAAGAAACACTGTGTCTTCAAGATGATGAACTGGGGATATGACACTTTTTTTATACATACGAGATACATACATACGCACGATGAACTGGGGATATGACACTTTTTTTTATACATACGAGAGAGCAGAATTCAAGTCTAAGTATGAAATATAATGGGAGTAAATGCATGCGTTACACACGGGCAGCATTATGTATAGTAATGTTGGAATTCCTTCAGTGAATCCGACACTGATGAAAATGAAACAAAGCAAACAAATAATGATTTATACAAATAAAAAGAGCAAAACAAGTGCTTGGCATTTCATACAAAGTTTAATCTAACACTGTACGAAAGCAAGAGGAAAAGACCAGCAACTCCTCGTAGAACAAAATCAAAATAGCAATTTGATCTAAGAACAGCACAGGACTCTTGCAGATATAAGCTGAATGATAACGAACAACAGCATCACAGTGTAAAAGGTTACCATGTACTTTTTTGTGGATTAAAACAGATGGGGTGGTGTACTGTGATAGTGGAATTTGATGCTTTTAAGAAATTTTTTTTTAAGGCATTAGGCAGCATTCTCTAATTTGTAACAGTATCAGGTTTTTCCTCAGAGTCACTTTGACTAATATCTGGAAAGTGGCTGTTCCTCTCCAGACATGTGGTGGACTACCGGAAGGAGTGGCGGAAGTGCACACTCCGTCGTTTCAGCTTCTCTGGGTTGTGGGAAGCCATGTGGGAAAATTCACGGAAGATGTCAAGGTACGTGGCATCTCCTGAAGAAGAAGAACAGGAAATAATGATGACAATCTTCAGCTAAGAAGACTAGGGCCTGTATTTATCAAAGTATAGGTCAGGGACATTTTGAACCTACTAACAAACTATTTTTCTCTTGACTAAAAAAATGCAAAGACTTGAATAAATACAAACCTTGATTTTTACAAAGCAAAGTCCTGAGAGTCAAGAATACAAGCAATGAAGAAAACAGGCTGCAGAGTACGGCCAGGGTAAGAAAAAGCTTCATGAATGAAGCAAAACCAGGCAGAGGCACCATGAAGCTTCGCTCTTTCAACTTTACAAATAGCGAGCCTATAATTTTCTTGTGGCCATGGTAACCACTGAATGTACAGGCATAACAAAAGCAGTTGAGGTCCTTTGGGTCCCATGAGAGCTCCTTGGCTGGCTAGTTAAAAAGGGGAACGAGCATTCCTGGTATGTGTGTGTATAAAACACGGACAGATCAGTGAGCTCAAGCCTCATAGTAGATATGTAGGTTTCTTGACTCAACTTTAACTTCCACTATTTGGCATTTATTAACAGCACAGAAACTGGCTGTGCTTTCTTTCAGTTTTATATCACTATAAACTGAACACTGGTCATAAAAAACTAATCTGATGTCACTTTTGGATTTGATTTTGTGCTGGGTGTTTTAAAATACACTTTACAGACAGCATTAATTGATATTTATAATGGATTATAATATAGTTGGAAGCAAATATGAGAACAGTTTTAAGTGTTTATTAATGTATTTGTCAACAATTATAACTACAGTAAGTAGTCTACATTAACTAGGCCTCGACTTTTGAGGTACTTGTACTTGAGTGTTCCAGTTTTATTTTAAAGGCAAGGTTGGCGATTCTTTTCAGAAGCATTTTTTTGTTACATATCTTGAAATTTTCTTTTCATCCCAATGGCAATGAATACATTATATGCACTGACAATATAAAGAAATAAATCCGTCATCTCTGGCAGCAGCAGGGCTGAGAAAAGCCTGACCGATAATTTTATTCGGCATGAGCAAAACCATTGGATGGCCTACCTGCCTGTCAGCCTACCTCCTACTTGCACACACCTGGTGCTTGCACGAGCTAAGAATCTCCCTCAAGGCCAGACAGGCAGATGTGTTACTGTTCTGTTTTACAGATAACGCCTGCAAGCTATGGCCAAGAAGGTACCCACAGGAGCTTTCGTTTGCAAATGGAGACAGCTGTTTGAGACCAGGCCTTCCCCTTTAAGACATACTGTACAGACTTATAGGTAATGTTGTTATTGTTGCCAGACATTGTGACCTGCAGTGTGAGAGCGAGAAGACCTCTGCCTCCCTCCTGGTGTTGACTGGATTGGCTCCAGCCCCCCATGACCCTCTACATAATGACCAATATAGACATGGATGGGATTACTGTTTGTACACAATAACAAATGCTGGACAGGAGGAGTTATAATTGCTGATGAACACTTAAAAATTTCCTCCATACATATTCATACATAATTATTAATATTATCTTTACACAATTATGTTACAGTATGTCATGCTGTGAAATCAGATATTTGGTTAATAATTCTTGCACCTGGAGCAAATGAAGTTAGAAATGTGTTAATTCTGTTAGATGCAGTAAAATGCTGTCAAAGGCATGAAAAGAGGACAGAAATAAAGCAAAGAAGCAAAGGAGAGGTTAACCTTTAGTCAGGTCTTCCATTTATTTTCAGGCTCATTTTAGAAGATCCTGGGAGGAGTTATTGAACAAGAAACATGAATCAAAAACAAACAGGTAGCAATGTTAATATGCACAGGTACTGAGTCACACTTTCTTTTTCAGTATTCAAAGAATTAGTACAAATAACAGTCAGAAACAACCAAACAAAAACAGGAAAGTTAAAGACTGCATGTTAGAAGCAGGCAGTTAGTGTTAAGAGTTTTTAGTTTCTATACACAACATTCAACTGACTGACTGATACACTGCAGACACAATGTACTCTACACCGCAGTCCTTTGATGGCTTCATGTACATGATTGCGTAGTTAAGTGGTGACATTGTTCATTCAGTACAATCTGCTTCCTGGGAATGTCTGTAAAGTAGCTATACTGCACTAAATAAGAAAAGGCTGGATTAAGAAAGAGTTTGTTTTTAAAGTGCTTTGAACCTATCACTGACAAGAAAAAGGCAAAGGGGAAACCATTGCTCACATATCCAGTGCTTTCGGTGCTAAAGGGCTTCAACCATGCACTGGCAAATACAAAGAGGAGATTTTATAAAAATGATTGGTGCAGTGCTGAAGAGAGAGTGGCCTGAATCTTTTGTAATTCATTTAAAATGGCAAAATGTTTGGTGAAATTAATTCACTTATACGAAATAGCCACGATGAGTGGATTCACTAGTAGGGGAGAACTGGCACAGATGTTTCCACACACACACAAAAAAAAAGTTCAACTCGCATGTTCATACGGTTGACCAGTAGCAACCTAGCTTAACAATGCTGACATTTGAGGGAACAGAGTCCAAGATGGAGGACGCTATAACTGATTATTATTAGTGTTGCACCATCCACTTTTATTTAACCCTGTGCTAATTTTATTCTCCAACCAAGCAGCCAAGCTAACAAGCCTAATAAACAACTACCCAGTTATCAAGCTAGCTAGCTCAGAAACACATTTCTCTCTTTAATGATTCTCAGTTGAATTAAAGTCACCACATCACAAAATGCCTCAAACCAAATCTTTTGTAAAGATGTACAGATAATTTTCTTGGTGCCATAGTTGTGACCAGGTCTTCAAAGCCTTTAAAGAAAATGGTAAAAACAGCTGTCTGTCTGTGAAACTGTCTGTGATCTGGTCTTTGGTTTGATTTAAACCCCAACACTCCACAACATCCGTGAAAGACAAGCAGCATCTATGGGGAAATATTTTTCATCAGGCTAATTTTGTCGGCAGTAGTCGGCTACAAATGAAGCTGTTCAGGGTACAACATGCTCTGGATCACTGCCATTTACTGTGACCTACCAAACACTACTAGTCACATTTGACATCAATCTAGAGCATAAATGGGGTCTTAAAACAGCCAGGCTGCCATGTTCATTGTCATCAAGCTTTTTGCATATTATCCTTTACCATCTTTTATGATCAATATCCAACCAATGGAAAACTTCAGTGTTCAGTGATTTCTGTCACAAATGTCATTCCATATACTGCTTGGCAGTATTTAAAATTGATTACGGATATTAATATTATTCAACAATATTAAATGTCAAATATTCACATACACTGGGTACAGAAGTAAACAAAAGCAAAAGGGCTTATAAACAAAGAACAAATCTAACATTAACCTAGTCCTGAGACCTCGGATTACCATAAACAAACATACAAATGCTGTATGTTATAGACGGTAATACATCTTAGTGCAATTTATCAAAAAAAATCTTCCACTGCAGATTGTTCAGGGGGATTATTCCAAGTGAATATATTATGAAAACTGAGTACCTGCTCTCTTTCTTACAATGAGAATATAGCACTGGCACTACGTGAGTGCTCAATAAAATAAAATCTAAAAAAAAGCTTAAAAATATATCATCTGTGTTGTTGTCACACATAATATAAAAAATACAGATTACCTGTACTGAAATAACCATTTCACTATTGCTCTGGGAGTTTCATCATAAATAAAAACATGCCACAAAAAAGCACCCAAACCTATTCTGAGAGGAAAAAGAAAGTGAAGGCATAACAATGATCGAGCAAAAAGAAAATTCAAATCACTGTTGTTAAGAAATAGTGCATGATTTCGCTTTTAATTAAATATAAACGCATTGCTTGATCAATCTCACAATCAATACAGAGAAATGATCCTGTGATCATTTACTCCCAGTCACAGTTATCGCAGCTTCACAGTTACCGCTTGATGACCGTCACAGTGCAAAATAAGGAGCTCCAACATGCGATCACACATGCACTGACAGCAGATCCTCAGGTTAATAAAAAAGCACAGCAAATGCAAATCTTATTAACCACAAACAAGCTAGTGAATTGGCTGCACCAGCCTGTAGTCAAGTCTGCAGCATTCCACTCCCATGTGCTAATAATACTGTAAAGAGCTGCAAAGTGGAAGGGCATGCTGGTTCCACAGGAGGTTTTCCTTATTCTGTATTCCCATGTCCTCAATGCTACTTAATACAGAAACTCTGGAGTCCATAGATAATGTAACAATAACCACCAGTTTTAATTATTTCTGTTTCCTTTCTGGCAAATTCTGTTTTGTCATTTGGTCTCAAAATACTACAATACCCAACAGCCTCACCATCGCTATGCAGGAGAAGCCAGAGGCATGGCCCAATGCACTGCTGCTAGGAACTCACGATAGTGGGATAGTTGCTGAAATTCACCTTTTGAGTCTTCTGTAACAGCTGTTCAACTTTTTAACCATAAACCCTGATATCTTACCATACACTGTATTTATTCGTTTTGTAATGATTTTCAATTGGCACAGTTTCAGGCCTGTCTAAGCCGCAGAGCTCCTCCAACAGTGATTCACTTAACACTGTCTTCTGGAAGCAGAGGGTACCCAACATGGGTCCTCCCACTTAGCACTATAATAACAACCTGATGAACCTCTGACTGTTGGGGCAAATGGCAGGTCTTTGGTTCAGAGCACACTGTACTCTCTAATAACTCCAAATAAAGGGTAAAGCTGGTCCCAAATATAGTGCTGATGAATTCTAATAGCTTCATACTAGTGCTGGAAATCTTAAAAAGTGGCTGGCAGTGGTGACAAGCACCTCACTACGCTCATCTACTTGGCAAAGTCAAGTCATTCAAATCTAACATCATTTAATGGAGGTTAACAGCCTGAGAGTGAACCTACTGTTGGTAAACTGGTTTCTGGTCTAGAGTCATCAGATTGTAGAAACAAGCTTGAAGCACAGGATCCCCAACAGGTCTCTCTCAGTCATGTCTGCTGACACCACCTGCACTTGTTTTACAATCCATTTTAACCTGACTAGGCTTGATTCTAGCACTCTGCTATATTGAGACAGATAAACTCCTGAATGCATTTCTTATACTGCTGCTCAGTGGGGCTGCTCCTTGGGTATTGACCTGACTGTCCAAAGGGTCCCTCTGACTCCCGCATCTCCTCATTCATCCTGGACAAACGCAACCTGACAAACAGAAGGAAAGACAAAGACAACAGGAGCAGAATGTTTAAAAAAATTGCCAAATTGTACAAAAATCCTTTGTTAAAAAGTTTGCTGAAGGCACATAAGTCAACCTACAGTGTGACTATATCTGCATTGGCTTGCTGTACAGCTATAGTCAAAGGATCCTGGCCATCTTCATCCTCATCGTTCTGTGTAGCTCCCCTCTTTAGGAATAAACACACCTGCCTGGAAATACAAGAGAAACCAAGATCAATCAGAGCAATCCAGTGCTCAGTCGCTGCCATTTTCAGACCTCTGTGCTCCACATGAAGAAAGCCGAGGGACACAACAAACATTACAATCACTGTTTTGACAGAGAGGCAGCTCTAGACAATGGGCTTCATGCAAGAACGTCGTCGGAAAGAAACAACCACTTGTATCTGTCACTGAGGAACAGACCTGTTTGTACAAGTGCATTATTTATTTACAGGAGACTGCGTTAGAGAAGTGGTTACAAATACAACTTGGAGTAAACAGCTACGTTCTGCCTCGTAACTCACCCTGTGTGTCCCAGATACGTGGCATGATGCAGAGGGCCCCTCTCTCTCGCGTCTCTTTGGTTGACGTCAGCAGAATTTTGGAGCAGAAACTCACAGGCAATCAGCGAACCCTAAAATACATTAACCCCACTAGTTAGCTTGGGCCTGACAATGAAATGCTGCTTTTGGTTGTGGGAGGAAAACAGTATTTAAAAAGGATTTTCACACATTCCCAGCTGCTGACATATGACAATGTTTGTCAGCAGGGCCACTTCTGGTCATTTTCATGTCTTTTGGAGGAGGCAGATCTTTTTTTTTTTTACACCTCATCATTTTAATGATATTTTAATTTAATTCAACTTTATTGAACTTCTGGTTTGTATCAACTCATCATCAACACATATTATGTCAGTTAGCGACCCAGTAATTAGTCTCATCCTGATTTTAATCTTGTTCACGATTGAACTTCTGTTCTGTATGATGTGGCTTAGAAGTATTATTAAGTCCTCAACAGTTCGCTGGTTGGTGCTTCACTCAACAACGAAACCACAGCCCAGCTGAGCAAGATGTGGCGTTTGACGTTCAGCGTCGAAACAGCTGTCAGTCATCTGCTCCTGATGAGCTGCAACGACAGTGGACGGACAAACGGTCTGCCAACCGACAGCAGAAGTGTACTGGACAGCAATAGTGTTCATGTAGGCATTATGTACATAATCATAACAGACATCAGTGAAAAAGCTTGCAACTGAAAATAACTGGGGACTCATAGACAGAGGTGTGGAGATTACGTTGCATTCAGCGCGCCAGAGAAATTAGACCTGGAGCATAAGTGGGTGATACACGGCTGTGTCATGGAGACATTTCACAGAATGGAGTTCTATCTGTTGCACCTAAAAAGGTATTCCGTCTGAACTGGCCTTAACTGTACCTGTGTATGTGACTCGACCTGTTGTTTTATGGGCAACCTGGGAGAATCACTAAGGTGCTTGATTAAATTGGTTGGACTGATTTTTTTGATTGATTTTGATGTGGCTGTGCACCAACTGAGAGATGTTACCAGCAGACACACTGGTTTTAGTCTTTAGCATGAGCTGAGCTCCTCCAGAGCCGCAGAACACTTGGATCCACAGGATGAGAAGTGAGTGTCATGTATAAAACAGGTGGACTGCTCCTTTAAGTGTTTTTGTTCTCTCTACAACATTTGCTAACTCACTCCAATCACTGCCTGTATGAGGGGTGTCTTCCCTTCATCTTCATCGTTGACCATATTGACGTCTGCCCCATGAGCTAGTGCTTCAGCCATGACGGGCAGGTTGCGGGCCTTTGAAGCTTTGTACAGCAGCGCTCCGGGATGAAGATCCCTAATGTCCTCCTGGTCTGACGTTTCTGGCTCAGCCTCCAGCTCAGCTTCACCACTCGAGTCCTCAGACACCTCACACTCTGACGACAGGGTAAAGAGACTAATTGTGTATATAACAGAAACATCACCTACACAAAATATATTCAGTGTTTGGTGTAACTGGATAACAATGGCAGGTCTGTACCTGCATTTACAAGCAAATGATTTTCACTACACAACTTTTTATGCCCCCAGTATACTGTACACATACTGGAATAACAAAGGGACTATCAGTTAAACATTGCTCTACTGGACTCACCCTCCTCTGTGACGCTGTCCACCACTGAACCAAACACCAGGATGTCTGTGCTGCCATCGGTGCTGCCCCCCAACCCGCTGTCACTGCTCAGACCTGTTGGACCGGGAGACGCCAGAACATGGACACATCAGTTACCGCTGTCTCTTTGAGGCTGACTGGTACTGTTTACAGGCACACACTCATGCACGTTTCCACACAAACACAAGACCCACACGCTGTCTGACTTTAATCTGGGTGAGAATATACAGTTAAAGGCACGGCATTTCCAGTTTTCAGGAAAACATTGTCAAAATAGTGAGCCGCTCACTTCGAGGACCCGATCCTGTGTCGAAATAGGAGAAGAGGGAGTGCAGCTCATCGGGGCAAAACAGGGATTCTCGTTTGAACTTAGCAGCAGCTGTGAGACAAACAGAAGTGAAAATGACAAGTGAGATAAGAAGCATTACAATGGACTACATTTGTTGGACCATTACATTTGCCAAGAGACTGGAATCACACTGCTGTGCACCAGACTCAGGAAAAAATAATTACTAATATTTGAAAAACCTAAAATGTTGTTTAAAAAATTTAAAAGTAAGTGAATAAAAGTCATTCTCACACTCTAACCATCTGAATGAAAAACTGTTTTGGTATATATATATATATTGCTCTATTTTGTAATTTTAAAAATGTTATAATAGTGAAAAGTAACATCAATGTATACAAGTCCCCCTAACACCTCTCATCATTATGGGCTACATCTTCAGCACCATTTTCTAACTTATATTTATTTACATTTTGGCAAATTGCACCGTTAAAAGTATGACTATTAGTTTGCAGCAGTACCCATGCATATACATGGTGATTTCAATGAGGACATTATTCAATTTTATATAACCAGTAAAAAAAAACAAACAAACAAAACAAAACATACATTACACATTTTAGTACAGATCATTGATTTTATTTTTCAATTCCTTGGCATTTCTGTGCTTTCAAAGCCATCTCATAACATGAAAAGTAAACCTATTTACCACAACCTCAATAAATAAAAATGTAGAAAAGCATTTTTCAATACTTCAATTCAATCGAAGTTCAATACCCAGCACTAGATTTGTGTCTTCACAGAGTTATGACTGTGACCAGGAGTAACAAATAAACAACCTTAATGTTAAACTTATTAAATGTAATGTTGACACACGAGAGGCACAAACTGGGGCGAAAACAAGTGAACCACATCAGAGCAAAGTGCCACCGTGTCCAGGGATCGGTTCAAGTACCTGAGGACAGACTGGATGGGGAGCTGCTTCCAGGCTCTTGTCGGTATCTTCGCCGTGTCTTGGGGACTGTGGTGGCGCTGTTGTGTCTCCGACATTTCTTTACGCTCCACCGCCGATCTGACTTCCTGTCTCCATTGATGAGTCTCTCTGTGGAGCCTAGCTTCTTCAGGAATTTTTTCTCTACATACTTGGCCTTAATCCAAGCCTCTTTTTCTTGCCTGCGAGGGATCATAACATATGACGAACTCCTAGTGATCAAAGGTAACGTTTTATGAATGTATGCCATCATATTTATGTATTTTATGAATTTCTACCTTGAACTGGATGGTAGTGGTTTCTTCAGACCTTGTTGCTGGTATGAGCCTTCATAGATGTGGTTGATGACGCTGTTTCCGAGCTCACACATTAACTACAAGAAAAGACATAATATTAACGGTCTCACACCAACTTTGACTTAAAGGGACAGCTGGATATTTTGAGAAACATATTTTTGCTTTCTTGTTAAGAGTTAAAAGAGCAGATCAACACCACTTAGATCAATACAGAATGGCTCCACAATGTAGTGAAGCCATAAATGACTGAACTATAGTTTTATGATTTTGAAAGGACACACAACCTATAATCCTGTAAAGAAAACCTAATTTAATTTTTAACTTCTGATTCAAATGAACATGGTGAACACCATGTAATTGTCTTTTCTGCATTTAAAATAAGTCTAGGATCACGAGCCGCCAACTGTAAGGCTTCAAAGGCAGCCAGAAGTTGAGTTAGTGCCTGGATTTGGGTGGAATATGAGGCATATGAGTTGTGTTGTCTGCATAAAAATGAGCCCTGAAGCATTTATCAAGAAGAACAATGTAGTTTATGTATTATGTAAATAATAATGGGCCATGGTTAGACTGCAGATGGTAAGTGGACAGGTCTCCTGTAAGGTACAGTACAGTGAGAAACCAATTAACAGTAGCATAACTAAGATTGTTGTTAAATATATTTTAGGATTAACAATATCAAATGCTTTTGAGAGCAGAATGGAGACAATTAATGAAGCTGCAGCTGTGATCAGACTGTTGTGGCTGTAATAAATTAAGAGAGCCTATAAAAGCATGTAAATGAAAATGGAACAAGGATTACATACATTTATTTATTTTTGCCAGAACTATTCCTTTAAAAGCATTAACAACTGCTTATGACTCAATAGAAATAACCGCTTCATTCTCATCCTTACTCATCAGGACACTGGTGAAGCAAACTGTACCTTCAACAGTTCTGGTTCCCATGAGTCCAGTGTGAGTGAGCGAACCTTCGAACAGTGAACTCCGAGACTCCTGCAACAAAAAACACATTTCAAGTTAAAAAAAAATTAGCCGTTTATTTTCTGCATTACAACAACTCATGGACAAACGAGTGCTGCCAGTAAACAAACTGTTGTTTAAATTCTTCTAATGAGAAAAGAGGAAGTGTTACAGATCAGTCACACACTATGGGGCGGTGAGTGGCTGCAAGGATTTAAAAATCAAAAGAGTGTTATCCTGGGAGAAATGAGAGAGGCCACTCCTAATGTCATGCAAATCTCGAAGTTCCTCCGATTAAGCTGTCTGGTATCCTGGCAACAGTGGCGCTGTAGAAAAAAGCTGACAGTGTTTTTCCCCTTCGTTTGCACTGCATTGTAATAAGAGGCCATGTCTTCTTCCATGAGCTTGAAGACGAGCCCAAAGAGGGATCATGAATAATCAAACACAGGGTTGGAGTTTGTCGTTATTTGAGCAGGAGAACTGCAACTTAAAAATAACACACAACTCCTGAGGGAAAACTGCTCAGTGATGCAACACTGTGATGTAGAGAGGATGCCTGCATTCAATAGCATCACATCATTTCCCCAGGAAATGATACTGAATTAAACTATTCAAGGACTTCACTGTGTCTTTATCTTCTCTCAACCAGCCAGACTGATCCAATAAGCTACGTACTGTCTGCTCTTTAGTCCCTTCAGCAGTGTGTGTGTGTGTGGCAGAAGGTGCTGAGTGCCAGGTTCTGGATTCACAGACATTATGGCGAGGACACAGAATTAACTGTTGATTTTAGTCTTTGGAAGGGATTTGTGGAAAACAACCAAAAAAATCATCGGCCTTATCGTATTTGTTAATTTTGATGTTTATATCTTAAAAAGTATTTTCGAACTCTACCTGTGGATGCCAGAGCACTCGATGCACAGCAGGACGCCCAGGTTGATTGAAGCCCAGCGAGGGTCGGCCTGGCCGCAGTCACAGCACCGCTCGTTTCCCGGCAGACACTGGATCCGCTGCACAAAGGTCTCCCCTCGGGTGCTGCGCTCCCGCGGCTCACTGGCCGAATCAATGCTGCTGGTGGACGGGGAGGCTGTTCTGTCCAGGTGCTAAATACAAACACACAAAAAGCCACCTGTTAGTACTGTAACATTCCACATGCATGCACGCTGCACACACAGTCCGGGTTTACCATTTTTGTAAGTGGTTTATGACCATGAATTGTGACTTACCTCTATATAGGAGGTGTCTGGGCTTCCTCTGTAGGCTGAAGCAATGCTGGCTTGAACTGCCTGAATCCAGGCTTGTCTTAGCTTCTCAGATTCCGCCTGTAGCATACAGCTCCTGGAAAACATATCAGAGAGGTATCACCAAATCATGTCAGCATTAGATCTCCATCACATTGCTAGTTTTGTAAGAGCACCAACAAAATGACTACAGTTAAATCTACTGAACAACTACAGTATGCACTCTCAAAGCTCAACCAAAAGAAGTGGTGCGATGATTTACTAAAGCACAAGTAAATGTGTGCCAACAATATGTGTGCCAGACTTCATGGAAATCCATCCAGTAGTTATTGATATATTTCAGCTAAGCCCACTGTGGCTGACTGGCCGTCCAACCGGCGGTGGAAACAGATGTTACTATGGCAGTGAGAGTGTGCCTTACTTGGAGGGGGAGACGACCTCAAAGCAGAACCTCCTCTCGATGTCTTCACATGGTTTGACAGAACACAGGCGAAGGTCCTCCACCACCACCGTCAGAGAGTCCTGCCAACACACAAACAACCTCTCATTCCTCTCCTTATCCACAGCCCCAGTATGACACAAAAACTACATGAAGCAGCTGTTTCTCAGTGATTCGACACTTTTCCTGAAGTCAAGCAGAGAAGTGAACACGAGCTGACAGTCAGACAGGCCTCTGTTCCCTGGAAGCTGCAGACTGGACACTCAAGCATCAGCAGAGATCTCTGACTCATAAACCCGCTGTCAGTAAGTGATGACGGGTCTCAGTGAAGATCACCATAACGATCAGTGTTTATCTCCTGATTAAAGATGCACTTAACCTCTTAGAGCCTACTTTACCCAAGAGAACGCTGAAGGTATGTGGACTTACCTTGAGCTTCTTCTGATAGACCAGCTGACTGTTCTGTATAGAAAACCACCGTCTGCAGAGAGAGGGGCAGGGGGTTAAATAAAACATGATTTAGATGGATATCCTTTTGATGCTGAAGGGCCAACATGAACCACAGTGGGCACCAGTGATCGAGGACAGGTAAAAGCATTGAGCGAAATAAGTTTTGGCTCTGGCAACACAAACTCTCGTACTTGTGATGGGAAAAGGCCGACAGAACTGCCAGTGAATGACAAAACGGTATTCACATCATCTGGTAACAGTATACTCTACATGTTTTACTTATTTTATATGCTACAGTTACTTATTAATATGTAATAATATATAATATTAATACTATATTCACTATAAAGGATTTCCATTCACAATAACATATGACCTGTTCACTTAGACATTATAAAGTTATTTTAATGTATACATGATATTGTATGCAGCTTTTTAACTATCATCTCTCCCTAGGTTCTTTAATCTCTTATTTTATTTATAGAGATCTTTGTTGTTTCCTGCTTCTTAGCCATGAATTTCCCTTTAAGATCAATAAGTCTTTTTTTTAGCATGTAATTACTGTGCACGGTGTGAAAAACAGTTCTCTCTTTTTACAGTTGCTAATTACATGTAACTCAATCTAACTTCTGTGGTTATACTAATATCATGTGTATACTAATGCGACACATTACAGAATGCACAGATTTTGGCCATGTTCGTTACCTGTTCCAGGTCTTAAAGGCGTTGCTGGCCCTCTTGAACAGGTATCCCTCCATCACCACACCATTAGGTGCATCCACGTTGAATTCCACCTTAGAGTCGTCACATGCAAAGTCCTGAAGGAGTGGAGACAGAGACACAGGTACCACAAATTAAGAAGCTGACATACAACATCAACATGCGTGATCATCAAGTCCTGAGGGGCTGTCATGGAAAAGGTCAGCAGACCAACAGATTGTTGGCAAGATGTTGTTTTAATCTTTTAATGGTCAAACAGGAAACAAAACCCTGTAGTGTAGTGTTCTGTAGTGAACAGGTTGAATGTGCTGTTACTGGAATACCAGTACTACTCAGCGTGCACTGTACTGTAAACCAACTAAATCATCACGTGGAAATGGTCACGTTTGGCCACATGCTTAAAATGCAGACATGTATCAGTCAGAGAAATATGCAACACTTCCTAAGAATATACCAAATTCTTTCTTGGAGCGATTAAAACAAAGTGACCTCCGTCTCTCTCCCAGCTCACCATTAACTGCACGTCTGAATAACAGAACAGCTTCCTGCTCTCCACCATGGTAACTTGTATGCATATGAAATAAAGCTTGAAATCCTGCACGTAGTGAGCGCTAAGGCTGTTGTCGTGGACCATCGTCAGGCATCTGATTTGAACCAACACATCTTCATACAGGTTTTAACAGCCTGTCAAAAAGGAAAAATAAATCTAGGATAAAGACAATCACCTTTATTGGCCAAGTATGTTACACACAAGGAATTTGTTTCCAGTACAGAACCAATAGCAGCCATCTGTGGCACCAACTCAACCGATGGCTCTGACATTTGAGAAGCTGGTTACAGCAAATATTTGAGTTTTGCTTAAAAAATGACAAATGATCATTAGATCATCAAAATAGCTGCTGATTAATTTTCTGCTGATCAGCTAATAAAGCAATCAACTCTTTTCAACATGTACACATACATCATTGGACACAAAGACAAAGTAATGGCAATAAGTGAGACAGAGATAAGGAGAGTAAGAGCAAGCCTTCAATGCTGGCATTGCCAAAACCATTAGAGCAGTACAACCCTTCTTGCTTTGCAAGCCTACGTGAGTCATGACAAAGATAAACCAAAAAATCTGAGATGTATGAACAACTACAGCAACAATCAACCAGTGTAATGCAAATTAACCCACCAAGCTGTGGTCCCACCGACAAAAGATCTTCATTCTCAGACGTTTAGTGCGTTCCAGCAACATTGAAAAGTACATAAAAGGTGAAAGGTTTGAAAAACAAAAGACAGCTCCTAAAAAACACAACCCTCAGAGTAAAGGCACGTCCGTCTTTACTCTCTGAGGGCTGGAGCTCACACAAGCCTTTGTGTCGCTGCCGTGCAGTACGTAATTCCAGCACTGACATGGGTGCCCTCTACTACAGCCACCTGCTGCCCTGCGAGCCTCAGGATTAGGACTAATTAGCATACAGCTGTATCCATGGCAGGATGTGCCAGAAGAATAGTGGACTACACTACACTACTGTAGCTGCTCTTGACCCCGATACAACCAGGATGTTCTGACACTTCAGAGTTTCGGTCTGCTTTAGTTTTATGTCCCTAAACACCCCTCCCTTCCTGAGAAGGTGGGAGCTTCAGTCCCATGTTGATCCAGTGGGAATCTACCGTGTGTGGCAGGCAGCAGCTCTGCTCACAGCCAAAATTCCTGCAATGCAACTGTGCAGATCTGTAAGAAGAGAAGCCAGTACAGCTTACCCTCAACTGTCGGATGTCTTTGTGTTTTCTATGTAGCACATCAGACATGAGATAACAGTGAACGAGATGTGCATGGGCAGTACTCTGCAGTCACTCAAGCCCAGAACAAATCATCTATTTTCAATGCAACTGTGCAGATCTGTAAGAAGAGAAGCCAGTACAGCTTACCCTCAACTGTCGGATGTCTTTGTGTTTTCTATGTAGCACATCAGACAGGAGATAACAGTGAACGAGATGTGCACGGGCAGTACTCTGCGGTCACTCAAGCCCAGAACAAGTCATCTATTTCTAAATATGTAACATCACACAGGCAGGGAATTATTGAACAAAGACTTTCAAATGTTACAAGCAATAAACTGTAGTAGAGCAACAAGGAGACCAAATTTCAACAGGAGATGATGCAGGCGATGTAAACTAATGCTTCATCCACCTGCTGCTGCTGATGGTGTGTCGGGCAAAAGGTAATTCTTCGACACCAAACGGCAAGTCCCACTGGTGCTGTGGAACATTTGTACAGTATGTTCTCTCATTACTCATCTGTTAGACTGGCTTTGCACTGCACATACCCAGCAAGACAACAGGTTTTATCCATGTTCAGGTAATCTTCAACCCACCTGGTTGACTTCACTACAAAGCTACAGAAAGCTACAACATCTCAGTCTTTTCTAATAAGTTCGGCTGCAGCTGAAGCTAATGCTCTGTGCTAACACTGGCTGCACTGCACTTAACCAAAGATGTGTTTTGTGTTAAGAATGAAAATTCAGATGGGAGAACAAGGGGAGCACTCACCTGCATGAGGGTCTGATGATGAGTAGATAGGGACATTGTGAACATGCAAGCAGAAGAAAAGCAAACAGCATTAGAATCACTAAAAGCCGGCGTGGTTTAAAAGGAGGTAATTCAATCATCTTTCAGGTTCAATACACCTTTAACCTGGTTCCTAGTCCACTAGGTAGCACAAAGTTGCTGCCCCCCAACACAGGTTCAACTAGTGGCCTTGTGTACTTACTACTGTACACGTCCCTCTGTGATGGATGGTGCAGGAAGCTTAGTGTCCAACAGCTCTGGCAAAATTATCTACAGTTTTTATCAGTCAACCTAAAAAAACAACAACTCACCCTTTGCTGAATGGTTGCATGTTTATGCTCCATTTCTCTCTTCTCCATGGCTGAATCGATCACTAGCTGATCCAACTGAAAGCCAGTTCACACAGAGAAGAAGAAACAGGTTTAGTGTTGCTTCAGAGACACATTCAGCCTGAACTCCATCCTGTCAAACTCTAGTCTGGTTTTGAAAAGTAACTAGCAACTAAAGTTATAAAATAAAAATGAATTAAAAAGGACGATATTTGACTATAATATGTAGCGAAGCAGCACAAAATGAAAATACTCAAGCACAGATACCTCACATTTGTACTTAGGTACAGTAGTTGGTTAGAGGAGCTTAGTTACTTTGCACCACTGCACAGCCCAGCTGCTGCAGCACGAAGTGACTGGAGATGCTCTGCTCACCTCAGTAGCCAGTTTCTTCATGTATGGGTCGATCTCTCCCAGCAGGTTGTAGCCCTGCTGGAACAGCGAGTACTGGGCGTGCATGAATGACAGCATCTAGGTGGAACACAAAACTTCCCAGATCATCTTCTTTCAAAGTGGGATTTATAGTAAAGATGAAGGTGTTGCTGGAGGTAAACAACATGTTTTATGTATCTGCACTGACTTACAGCATCCAGGATCTCGAATTTCTTCTTTGCTTGTAGAACATTGATCTGCAGAAAAAAGACAGACATGTCTCAAAGCATTAGTTTGAGGTGCTGATTATCATGTTGATGATATCCACATTCATCCTAGCTATTCAGATAACTCCCTCTGGTGGAGTTTCCTTTTTCAAACGGTGGTGCGATCAAGCTTTATATGAGGGAACTCAGACAAAGTTTTAGCATTGTATATCTTAACTGATGCAAACCTAAATGAGAATTAGTGCTACATTTAAGGGGTCAGTTCTACATATAGCACATCTCTCCACAGCTTTGACCCTTTCAGCCTTCAGACACTTTCAGTTGAGAAGCAAAAAGGGTCTGAGAGCAGTGAGAGAAGGCTGCCAGTGAATGAAGAATGGAAAGAGGACGCAGCCATTACGGCGATCACGCTGAATCTCTCTCTTTGTTCCCGCAGGCAGTCTTGAGGAGGCGGTTACAACTTGTGGGACAAATGAACCATGCTGCATATGAACAGAGCAGACAGTGTGCCATTCAGGAAGAGAGACAGACATGGCTGCAGACTAAAGGGCTACATCATTGTCAATCCTCGACTGTACCCGTGAGATTTGTCTAGTGCGAGTGTCAACAAACAGGCAGTTTGGATATGAAGAGATGAGGCAGGTTTTTCTGAAGCATGCTTGACACTTTTCCATAAACATTGCACCACTGCATACAATACATGTTTACACTGTGCACATTCGCTTTTAACAACTTCTGAAAATCCTTAAAACCTCCATAAATCATATACAGAAGGTGACTATAATACTGGAATTCTGAGCTGATATCAATATTAAAAGCAGTTCGAAATAAACAGGTTGATGGTGTTTAAAAAGAACACGTGCAACATCTTTGATATGGCTCCATCTAGGTTTGATATATCTCACTCAGACCTGCTGCCACCCAAAGCAACATGGCGTTCAGTGATGCAGATGTTCCAGACTGTAAACAGACTAGTTTTAAATGCAATAACCAGACATTAAGCAAAGTTCACCCAGAATAACTGTTCATAACTTTGATAGGTTCAAATTTGAACATTGTTGACTTGACAGTAGATGGAAAACCAAGGAGCTGAAGGGACCATCTCATTAGTACATGCACTTTTTGATAGCTTACCAATTCTTTTTTCTTCTGAATCATATTTTCCCACTATTCATTGCTACTTGGACAATTTTCTAATAATTTATAGAGCTTTCACTTAGATTCCATTCAGCCTTAGTTTAGTTTAGTCATTATTTTCTGGGCATACAGTGAAAAGGGCAGTTTAAAAACTGGTTGACTCAGAAAATCATCTAGATGAGTTTAGGTGAATTTTAACAACTTTCAGTATGAATATAGTAAATGATATTATACTTGTAGAGTGATTTTGCAATGATGCACTTTTACATTATTTTCCATTCACCCATGGATGGCACAGCCACCGGGAGCAACTTCAGGTTCAGTGTCTTGCCCAAGGACACTTCAACATGTAAACTAAACTAGAGAAGCAGGGACTCAAACCACCAACCCACCGATTAGAAGACAACCTGCTCCACCTCCTGAGCCACAGCTAGTTCTGACTGCTAGGAGAAGGTAGCTTTGTGCTTCACCATGGCGGTCGAGCCATTTACGCCTCCTACAGGCAGCCATATCTTAGTTCACATGCACATTAGGAAAGATAAAATATCATTTACTACTGTTTCTAAAACTGTAACCACTGCAGACCAAACAACCACAGGTAGAGGAAACACACATCAGTTCATGGATACCAGTGACTTTTCTGACCTGTAGCACGTAGTCCAGAGCGAGGTGTCGGAAGCACTTGCGGGTGATGGTGAGCGCGCCGGTGGCTTCTTCGACCTCATGAGGCTTATTCCTCGGCGCCTGAGCATTCTTCACCTGCACTATTTCCAAATCCTCACGCACCCTATCAAAGTGCTTTTTGGTCTCCTTGAACTTCCGAACATCCCTGACAGACACAGATGAGCAAAATTTAAGTGAGACATCAGTACAACAACTTAACACAGCATCAACAATTAAATTCAGGAGACAGGGGAATTACCTCACAGGTACGTTAGCTTGAAGGTTCATGATACTGTATGTCTAGCTGCAAAAGGCTGTCTGCTTCATATTTTAAAACACTAAAAAGCTTTTCAGGGGTACATCTGTGGACTCTTCTACCAGCACTGAATTTAAAAACAGGGACACCTGACTGAAGCACCGTACGGTGTAGGGCTACTCACTCTTTCACAAAGTTGTGCAGCTGCTGCTTTACAGACCGCTGAGCCTGATCAAATAGTATCTGAAACAGAGGAAAAGAAGAAGTTACAGTAGCATTTCTTGATGGTGCTTTATTTAAACAACAGCCATGAACAACAACAAGCAAAAATCGCTATTAACCCCAAGAAGAAAAGGTTTTATGATCAGTGTGTTGTATTTATCCATAAATCTATCTAATCTAAAGCTGAAACACTTCCTAGTTCTCATTGTTCTGATGTGACGATTTGCTTTGTTGTCTCATGTGACAGAAAACGAAATCTCGTTAGGGTTTGGTCAGAAAATCTACAGAAGAGAGCGGCGTCATTCGTCATCACTTTCTGAGATTTCAAGATAAAACATTTACTAGATTAGCCAAGAAGATAACTGCAGAAGCGCAGATAATGAAAATCATTTTTAGTTGCAGCACAATTTCAATTTACACAGTTACACATCAATGACTACACCCAGTACAAGCAGGTAGAAAAACACTGGGTCCAGTTTACATCAGGACGCTGTTGCATTACTTCCCCAGTGTAAAAGATGGTATAGTTGCGTACTCTACTCTAGTTCTTTTAAAAATTATATTGCTACTGCGTATCACTTTGTATGTGTGTCTATTTTAGGGTGAAACTTAAACGTTTGGTGTGTTTAACACCAGATCGCTTTGTTTGAATTTGGTTGGTTTCATTTCTGTGTTGTGCCAAACATCTTGGCATAACATACATTTTCCAATATCTTATGATAATGAATCTACAAAAAAGTACTTCTATATTTTTTCAAGTCATTTAGGTGAAAATAATTCAAATTAACTGCTACATATGTACAGTTTATGCTAAAAACCCTTTTCTCCAGATTGGCCTATCTAGTTAATTGAAATGCTTCATATGAATAAGAGCCAGCTCTTAAGTCCTTGTGCATCATCTATAATTACAAAGCCCATACCTGATTTTATTTTACTATACAAAGTAGCACTAAAATGAACAAATGAATGTAGTGAATGTGTATCTGCCTCTGAACTGTAGTGGGGTATAGATGTAGAAATATATAAGTAAAGCATAAGCAAGCACTGTGTGCAAAAACAAAAATTCATAGATGATGTCTGCACAACCTGTGATGCATTTGGAAGTTTCTCATTTCCAGACTTTTGGAGAGCTACTGTGAAACCACCCGTTTAACCAACAGAGGGCGACAACGCACAACTTTTATTTTGTAAGACACACGATGCAAACCAGCTCTTTATGCCCACTGGAATGAACAGAAGAAGAACATCACTCCGACTCAGACACTCCTTCAGTTAGGTGTTCCTCCTCCTCTTATTCACCCTCTGAGCACATCCGCTGTGACTGCTCCTGCAATCCCTCTGCTGCTGTTAAATAGGTCACTCGAACAGAGAGGGAGGGGAGGAAGGGAGGCAGAGGGAGAGGAGGAGGAGGCTTTTGGTTCAATGTGACACTGCAGAGTCTGCATCCAATGCAGAGTGCAAGCCCACTCATACAAACTGTCAGTCCACATTATTAAATGGTTTGCATCAAGTGCCACTTTTTCTATTGTTACCACAGTACGAAGGCAGCCAAACAGAAGCATAACAATATGTTTACATGACTTAATCTGAACAGACGTAAAAATAAAAGAGTGGTAAAGTGTGGTCAGTTCTGCTATATCCCTGCCACCACCTCTGAGAGGGATGCATTTGTTTCGTTGGTGGTTTAAGGCGTCATTTTACTGGTCTACAGTGACTGTGAGAGAGTGGAACGGCAGAAACCCTCTGAGCCCATGTGCTCTGCCTTGTGATTCTCACATGACATCAGAAACCATCCACTTCTCTGTACAGTAAGTGATTAGCAAACAAATACGGCACCAGATGTTGCATTTTCCACCTCGCAGGCAACACGCCAACAGGTGAGCCAACTATTCTACAGGTATCACCTAAACTGTGTCACGTTTGACCAAGGCCTGCATGTTTGGCTATATTTGTCTAATTAATCTTGTGTGGTCAGTACGTTTCTCTGTATGCAGCTTAACGAGCTTTTATAAAAACACAAACATGAAGTAAGTCAAAATAAAATCGGCAAGGCAGCGATGGGCAGTGGCCATAAACAATCCAGTTTAAGTTTAGGTAGCAGACGGTTACGGTGCACGGGGCTCGGTAGAAACCACAGTCTTTAAATGCTGTCAAGTCAACAAGTGCCCTTCCAGGAGGACTGTACTGTCTGTGTGAGCAGTGGCAGGAAAGCTGTTGTGACACTTCCTGACGCTAAGCCTAAAGCATTCCTCAGCTGCTTTGTGGCAAGTTGACACCCTGCTTTCATTGGACCAAGATACCACAGGTCGTCTCTGCATGACATGAACTAAGTCGACTGAAAGAGGAAGGAAGGATAAACAATGTGCTGCCTAAAGGAATGCTGCACTTTAATTAGCTTTAAAAATGTGACGTTTTGTATTTATGTGTTAAGTTTTATATCACCTCTCACAAATCTACCTCAGGTAACAATACAAGTCCATGTAAATTGCAATAACTTGGACTTTGTACCCTCTAATACAGGCCACTGCCCATCATATCTAAACAAATACATCTCTAGTCTTGTTATTTTGTTAACAAGCCCCTTCTTGCCAAATGAATAATAACATTAATTGTTTATCAACCTGCTGTGTGGGTGCTGTTACCATTTGTAAGAAATGGTAAGGACTGCAGATGTGCACACACACACACACACACACACACACACACACACAAATCCTTCCTAAAGTGAACTGCTTTGTTTTCCAGTTTCCAAATATAACTGAGACAGTAGTGTTGGCATCCCACGTTGGAATTCACTCCTTCAGCAAGTAGTAAGGGAAGAAAATACAGAAAATCATAGTGTGAAAATGTAACTGAACATGACTGTAATCTACATTATTCCTCTCACACATTTCCTTCTCACCTACCAGCGTACAGTATAATCCTTTACTCCTTTCAGAGTCCAACATAGATCAATAATTTAGTGAGGATTCATACAGTACATTCTTGAATTAGACACAGACTATTAAAAGGCTGGCCTTGTTTCTGTTAAAGCTTCTGCTCATCTGAAAGAAAAATCTAATGTGAAATCTGTGGAAGGGAAAAGACACACGGGCCTGGAGCGACAAAGTTAAAGGAGCTATACTTGGCTTGTGTCTGACATTCACACAAACAGAGCCTGTTTGTTCTGCTGTGTGCTGCTGGACTGGCAGGAGAGCCAATCTATCAGGAAATGAAGGCAAACAAGGGCCAGAACTCTTGTGTACCTTTCTTGGATCTGTGTGTCCACTTGTCTCAGTGATGATACAGGGTGGTTGTGTTTACTTTATGCATTTCATAAGGCATCTGGTCAGGCACCGCGACAAGGGCACTCGGCACTCGGTTCCATTTGTACGGAGCCACTTAATATTCTTGAGTGTCCACTGTGTAGAGTAAGCACAGCGGCAGCATGCACACAGAGGGGCATCCGTCACAGGTAGCGGATATAAGCATCATCATTTCTTATGCACTGGAGCACTGCTGGAGTTACTCAGCTACAGGAGAGCTGCTCTGTCACATGCTCAGTCTACTGCTTCAGTTACTAAATTCTTTAATATCAGTGAATCATGAGGCCGTTCTCACTGTGTTGAGGTCGCATTGCTGTAATCATTATCAATTGTGTGAAATGCTTCACCTCAGAGGAATCTCTCTCATCACTTCAGTCTCACACTACTGTTACGCCTGCTCTGCTTTCACATCAGAGTAACAAAGAAACCCCTGGAGAGCCAATCATACGTACGGCCAGGCAGACTCTTGACTCTAATGGACTGGAGGGAGGGAGAGGAGACACAGGACGCTGAAAACCCAGCTGAGCTCACAGAGGCCAGCTGGTCCCAGGCCTAACCACCCTCTCTTTATGGTCTCTAAAGTGTGACACACTGAACCAGACAAACAGGGAGACTGTCAGTTTCACACAAACACTAACAGACTGACAGACAGCTCTACAGCATGTATTTGATTGAAGCTGACAAGCATTGGCAACGGAGAAGGAGCATGTAATCCTAGAACTACCAAAACTCTGATGTGAACACATTTACAGAAGGCCAGAATAACAAACAACACATGTAACGCAATCTAATAAAACTCCATAGTCTACTGCCTCCAACATGAGCATTGTGTTGAATCAACCTCTCAGACAGTTGAACAATCAAAGCTTCACAAAAGCAGCATTGTGCATAATTAAAACATACCATTTTACATTTGTGATACACTGTACAACATGACTATGACTCCGGTATCACTGCTGTATTTTATGGACTGCAGTGCAGCTTTTCCAGTAAACTTTGCAGAAAGACGTCTGACACTGTTTTTTTGTATGAAACTCTACTAAACCTGCCACAAATGGCCATCAGGCATGGAAAATACGGTGGTACCGCATATATATAGTGATATAGTGGCCTATTTACCGATGATGTAAATGAGCACAGCTACAGCAGTGTTAATCCAAACACACCTCTGCATTGGATCTGCTGCCTGAAGTCTGTTGCACACGTGTGAACCTGTAGAAGAAAGTCTACGTGTACAACAGCCGAACTTTAATACGGCCAGGGCTGGAATCTGGAACATTCTTGGTGTGAGAAGACAGTGCCAACCATCGCACTGCACAAATCGATTCAATTCAGTTTTATACGTATAGCACAAAATCACAACAAACGGGACACTTTACAAAGTAAGGTCCAGACCTTACTGTTAGTATTATTATTATTATTATTATTATTGTAGAGTAAAAACCCAAATGTGTGCCAGTATGTTCTAGAGCTGACTGGATCCAAATGTACCAGTGCTTGGGCATTAACATCCAACTGATGACACGGTGCATCACAGTCCTTGCGTGACAAGTTAAACGAGGAGAGAGGGAAGAGAGGACGGAGGCATTCTTTGCCAGACAGACAGTGAGTACAAGGAGGTTGAAGCAACTGGAACATCAGCTGTTTGGTCAAGTTTTGTTTGGCAAAAACGTCAGTGTGCATCATGTGGAAGTTTTTTAAGGTTTGACATTAAAACAGGGAGTTTGCATCTCCTGAAACATGTCAGGTACAAGAAAAAGACATCAATTCAAACAACAACGGCAAACTTTGTATGTAGCCAAGGCCAAAGAGACCTTTTCTTTAAGAAATTCTGTTTATAAGTTATCCATTTATTTAGTAGATTGTTATTAAACTGGTAAAAACATTTTGCCTTTTTATTGCCTGGCAGGAGCAGGAAACTGAACTGCACTTTTCCATTGCTCCTGTTTGTTGCTGATCAGGTGTCAGTGTGGCCTTCGGCTGTGTCTGTTCAGGTGGGCCGTCATTTGGATCAGGTGCAGTTATCTTTGGGTATGGTCCGGTAGAGCTTGGGTCCTCCTCAGGTTGGGGGTCTAGTTTTTGAAAACTAACTTATGCACGTCATGTTTGGGTCTGTTTTCCATGGCCTGTTTCGGGTTGGGTCTAAATTTTTGGACCTGTGAAGACCTCTACGTCACAGCTAAGATCGGTTAAGCACAGCTCAGCCTCTGTGTCATATTAAAGTGAATACAGAACCCCATGGAGACCTTAAGTGCTATTTAATTACGCTGGTGTGTCTGAATCCACTGTGGGCA